GGAATGCCACCCCCCTCCCCCCCCCAGAAGGAGCAGGGAGCAGGTGGTTAATAGACTGCTGTGCTCCAGGCTAAACAGGCACAGTTCTTTCAGTCTTTCCCCATATGACAGATGCTCCAGTGGCTTAAACATCTTTGAGGCCCTTTGCTGGACACTTCCTCCAGCAGATCCAGCAGGTCCATGTAGTCCAGGTAGACCTAGAGATCTGGAAGTGGGAGCCTTCCCTCTTCACTGGTTCCGGCCCATGTGCTTGGGTTAGGGGGCTCCTCTCATTTTGCTTCCTCCACCACTGCACAGATCTTTGCCCTGCCCTGCTCTCTTCCTCCTGCCTGCCTTGCCCCTCACAGCTGTGCAGAAGGCCTTGCTGACTCTGGTGGCTCCATCTTCTTTACACCCACCCATCAGGTATATACACAATGATAAGATTCCCTTGATCAGTCTCTTCTTGAGGCTGAACAGACTTAGGTTGCTCAGCATCTCCTTGTATGTCAGATGATTCAGTCCCTTAACCATCTGCACAGCCTTCTACTGGACTCACTCCAGCAGTTCTATGTCTCTCTTGTACTGAGGAGCACATAGTTGGACACAGTACTCCCACTGTGGTCTTACCAGTGCTGGGTGGAGGAGAAGGATCACCTCCTTCAACCTGATGGCAACACTCTGCCTAATGCAGCCCAGGTTACCACTGGACTTCTTTGTCACAAAGGTGTATTGCTGGCTCATGTTCAGCTTCTTGTCTACCAGGACCCCCACAGGACCTTCTCTGCCAAGTTGATTTCCAGCCAGTTGGTCTCCAGAGTCTACTGGTGCCTGGGGTTATTCCTCCCCAGGTGCAGGACGTGACACTTCCCTTTTCTGAACTTCAGGAGGTTCCTCTCTGCCCATTTCTCCAGTCTGTCCAGGGCCCTCTGAACAGGTGCACACCAATCTTTCATAGAAACCACTCCTACCAGTCTTTTACGGTCTGGGTGTGTTCAGCCCCATCATCCAGGTCATTAATGTGGATGTTAAACATTGTTGGCCCCAGTATCGATCCCTGGGGGGCACCACAAATGATTGACCTCCAGCTGAATTCAGTGCTGATGATCACAACCCTCTGAGCCAGATAGTTCAGGCAGTTTCCAGCCTACCTCTCTGTCTACTTATCTAGCCCACACTTCATCAGCTTTTTTGTGAGGATGTTCTGGGGAACAGCGTCAAAGCCTTACTTAACTGGAGATAAACAACATCCACTGCTTTCCCCTCATCCACTAAGCCAGTCCTGTCATTATAGAAGGCTCTCAGGTTGGTTAAGTATGATTACCCCTTCATAAATCCATGCTGACCACTCCAGATCACCTTCCTGCCCTTCACATGTCTGGAAAAGGTTTTTTGAACTTGCTTCATCACCTTTCCAGGGATCGAGGCAAGGCTGACCGGCCTGAAGTTCCCTGGATGCTCTTAGCAGAAAGCTCACTTTGCCCCTAGCTTTCCCTTTGCTGCTTTGTAGAAGCCTTTCTTGTCCTTCATGTCACTTGCCAGTTTCAGCTTCAGGTGGGCTTTAGCTCTCTTTACCCCATCTGGACTCCTCTCCCCTCCAGGGCTATAGTGAAACCAGCATATTTCCTTTCCCTCCTCACAGGAGTCCCTGTCTCTGGAGTGTCCCTGAAAGTGCATCCCCATGGCGGACAGGTGAAGGAGGGTGAGCCCCTGGTTCTGACCTGCTTGGTGATGGCGGGCACAGGTCCCATCTCCTTCTCCTGGCATCGAGAGGGCTCAGCACAGGTTCTGGGAAGGGACACCCGCTACGTGATCCCGTCAGCCCAAGGGAGTGACAGTGGGCTGTATTACTGCACAGCCTCCAATGGGAATACCCCAGCCCAGAGCCCACAGATGCAGGTCACTGTGATGGGTGAGTGCGATCTCATGGTCTGTGGAGAAGGTGGAGTTTGATACTGCTTGTGGGAGTGTGTGCAGCTCCAGCTGGGCATAGGCACGGGCGTTGGTGGATATCAGTGCTGTTGCAGGGGGTGGGGCCCCAGACTGCTCCCTTGGCACAGCGCATGGAAGTGCAGGAGCAGGGAGCTCAGGTGTGCAATAGGTCCAAAACAAGGTTGGGAAGCTTGAAGAACCAAATTATCTGATCCATTAGAAATAGAAATTGCTGCTAACATTTTCCCCCTCCCTTTAAGGAAAGAAAAGGGAGTGAAATTAAGACAAAACCTATGCATTGGCAGACCAGAGGTTAACAGAGATTATTTTTTCACTTTTTCTCACCAATACTATGGCAAATCTTTTTCCTCCTGAGAGAGAAATGAACTCTTAGAACGTGCCACATGGAGAGCCAGCCAGGGGCCCTCAACTGCCTGCACAGCTTGGCATTGTCCCAGAGCAGGAAGCTCTTCTTATCGTTCCCCAGTGCCCAGCCATGGTCGCTGATCACAGCCTGTTCCCTACTGAGCAGCTCAGGGACGGTCCTGTATACCAAGGCCTTGGGCCGTGTAGGGCATTACCAGTGTGTGGCCAGCAACTAGCTCAGCTCCCAGAAAGCTTTCTAGGAACTCAGATAGATAGGTGCTGATCCTCTCCATGACAGGTACCAGGGACTAGCTGTGGGAAGGAAGAGGGTTTGATCAGGATCTAGAAGTACCCAGGTCACCTAATGGCTTTTCTGCCTCCCCATTCTTGAGTGCAAAATTCAGGCATTGGGAAATCAGGGGATAATTGAGCTCCAGGTTGAGATATTGCTATGCAACATTGCCATACAGGTGTGTTTGTGGTGCTGGTGTTGGTGCTGAGGCTGAGGGCTGAGGGCTTAGTGCTCCAGCAAGGAGCACTGAGGCTCACTATCTTTGGCTGAGCAACACTTTTCCAGCTCAAGCACCAGCCCAACTTGGTGTTTTCAACCTTATCTGAGCCCTCATAACACATTCCTTTCCCAGGTGCCCCTCAACTCTTCTACTGCTATATCAGAGCACCACTGTTGCTGGCAGGGCTGGGAACCCTCCTCTCTGGGGTGGTCGCAGTGCATGTCCTTGCCTGGGTGGAACGGAGAGGAACAACACAGTGAGTGGAGTTGCACAAGGGACTGTCCGAACATGGGTTGCAGTGTGGGTCATGCTCATGGCAAGAGTATTTGTGGGGCTTCTTGAATGCTATGATCCCTGCAAGTGAACCCTAGAAATCACTGATTTAATGTGCTGGACATGACTGGGGCTTTCCAGAGCATCCCTGTGTCCCCTCTCCAGCCTGATCAGCACTGTGGGTACTTTGGCTCAGAGATGCTTCTGCTGTTTTCCTGGAAGTGTTCCCCATTAAAGCACTTCGGGGTGTGAAGCTTGATGCCTGGCCATGTGGTTGCTAATTGAGTGCACCCCAAGTGTTTTTGTGTGTGTAACTGCTGCTCACACACAAATCACCCACACAGTGTTTGCTCAATGACATGACCTGTGCTTGTTCAAAGGGTACCATAAAATGAAAAGCAGAAGGAAGTGGCACAGTCCAGGGGCACCCCTGGGTGCTTTGGGCCAGCATTTCCACGTGGGTCTCTCCTTTCATGGAGGAGGTCTCTCAGAGTCCCATGTGCCCATAATGCTTCCCTGAAGATGTCCCACAGGGCTCTCTTCTTGTACATACCACAAGGTTTCCATTCCTGCAATGCCCAGCTCACCCTCAGTCCAGGAGTTACCTGACCTAACCAGTTAGCTCTCTCTCTGTCTCCCCTCTCCCTTCAAAGTCTCCCAGCATCTGCCTTATATGAAGCTCCCGCCATTCCCTTTACCAAGTCCCAGCTGCCACTCCTGCTGTTAGGTTACAGAAAGTCAAGTCCTGGTGGCTGCAAAAAAACCTCCTTGGGAGTGTTTCATTAATTGAGCTGGGCAAATGCTGGGAGGGAGAAAACGGGTATTATGTGCAACGTGATATGGTCTTGGGGAAGATCTGCCAGCTGCCAGGAAATTTTTCCATCATATTCTGTGTCTTTGAGTTCTGAGATGCCCTGCCCTAGTCTACACTGTCAAGGTGTGTGCTGCTATGCCTCATGGTCTCCTCAGCGTGGAGGCTGGAAGTATAACTAAGTGCCTTAAGGACTAGGCTTACACCTGGAGGATAGGATATATGCACTTACACGGGCTTAGGTACAACCTCTGGCTCAGAAATGCCTGGAATGATCTGGAAACATATTGGGAGCTGGAGACCATCCTGGGGAAGGGTCAAATTGTATCATCTGCCTCGTTCCTCTCACTCTCTCCATGCTCCCTCCTGCTGACCACTGCTGGGCACATCCCTGCTAATGGAGTTTTCGTCCCCCAGCTGGATATGGCTCCCCCTGCCCAAATCAAGCTCTGTCCAGAAGCTGATCAGGGCCTCTTTATTTACGTGGAATTGGACATTTTCATCTGGCATGTGCCATGAATTGAGCAGTGCTCAAAGAGCAGTGCTGCAGGCATGTGGCAGTGCTGTGGGTCAGTAGAGCTCCTAGAGGCAGCCAAGGTGGTCCGGGCCTGGTCAAGGGATGTCCTGGGTTACGTGCAGGTCACAGGAAGGCAATATTCTCATAGATGTCACTCAGGAAGAGTGTTTCCCCCTCCAGAGCCCTTGCTGTGAAGGCTGAATCCCTGCGGGGGTTGGATCCAGAGAGCGCTGTGTTTGAGACACAGGATTCCCACTGGAAAGAGATGAGGGGGCTGAGAAGGAGGAGGTGATAGAAGAACCATGAGGCAGGAGAAGGAGATAATAGCGGAGAAGTGGTGGGAACAGGGGAGGGTCCCATTTACCCAATTCCTTGGAGAAGGTTGTTCAGGCCCATCTGTAAGGGCAGTAGTGTGGAGTCAGGTTGCTGCATGAACACCCTAACCAGGTCTCATCTGCTGACTGAGACTCATTTGTTTCGCAGCCCTCCACCCACTACTTCCAAACAGGGTCTCTCTGTTACCTTCAGGACTTGGATAGGAGCACAACGAGGGCCCTTTTCCCCATAGCAGACTGTACAAATGCAGTGTCACTTCCCTGTGACCTGTTCTGTTCTGGCCTGGGAACATGCCCTTCCTGGGTTTGCGGTCTAACCACTGGGCCAGACTATGACGGCAGCCCTGCTTTCTCCCATGCCTCCCTCTCAGGCAGGCCCTGCTGTTCCCCAAGGGCTCTGAGCACAGCATGGGCAAAGCTGCTGGAATGCCAGTAAGGCTGGGAGGACAGATACCCTGGCTCACTGACATCCTGGTTCATTGTAGCCCCTCCCCTCATTCCCATAAATCTCCCTGGTCCCTTCCGAGGTCACCTGTCCAAGTCCATTCTTTCCCCTCACTGTACTTTGTGCTTTCACAAAAGTGAAAGGTAGGACGGAACTATAAAAGATTAACACCATCCTACATGGTGTGGACCCTGCTCTGGACAGCTGGAGTGACCACAGGACCCCCACATGGCAAGAAGGGGATGCCTGCACTGTGATTCTTCCATGACTGGAAGGCATCAAGGGATCAGAATTTGTAAGACACCAACTGGAGCATGTTTCCTATGAAGAAAGGCTGTGAGAGCTGGGCCTGTTCAGCCTGGAGAAGAGAAGACTGAGAGGCGATCTCATAAACGTGTACAAGTATCTGAAGGGGGGGGTGTCAAGAGGATGAGGCCAGCCTCTTCTCCGTGGTGCCCAGCAACAGGACAAGAGGCAACGGGACAAGAGAAACTGGAACACAGGAAGTTCCACCTAAACCTGAGGAAAAACTTCTTCACTGTGAGGGTGACAGAGCATTGGAACAGGTTGCCCAGAGAGGTGGTGGAGTCTCCTTCCCTGGAGATATTGAAAAGCCGTCTGGATGTGATCCTGGGCAATATGCTCTAGAGGACCCTGCTTGAGCAGGGAGGTTGGACTAGATGATCTCCAGAGGTCCCTTCCAACCTCAACCATTCTGTGATTCTGTAACTTAGTTGTGAACCTGAAGCACACGTAGGAATAATATTTAGTGCCTGACTATAACAAATTAGGCTGAGAAATTAATCTAAGAGTGAGTAATAAATGCTTATTTCCTTGTAGCCATGCTGCATCTGGAGTCCTTGCTCTTTTATGGACCCCTTAAGTTAGTGAACATTCAAAAGAATCCTTGGTGCAACACCATGCAAAGCTTAATATAATTTTCATGTTAGGGTCACCTAGCTTAAGAAAGATGTAACATCAAGGACAAGGTCAGAGCAAGCCAGTCCTCCCTAAGCACAGGAATCTATCTATACAGAAGAGCACACACAGACGAACTGTAATAAGCACCCAGTTTCCATCACATTCTCCAGATATACAAATCCTGATGCTAGAAATCCAGAAAGCAGCATGATCCCATGTATGGTGGGACCTGGAGAATCAGTCAGTCTGAAAAAGACCCCAAGAGTAGCAGCTGGAGGGGTTGTTGCATGAAGGATGTACTCTGCAACACTGTGTTACACGAGCGGCTCAGGCTATGCCCCAAAGTAGGTTTTCAGATGGAGGGAAGGCTGATGGAACAGCCCTTAGAGCCCAAATTCCAGCCTTCCAGAAACGCCTTCCCCATTACAGAAAGGACAAGAAATATTCCCTGAAGTGAAGGTAGAGTCTAACAGCAACAGGAAGGGCAGGTCCCGGCACAGCAAGTGGCAGGCAGGAGGCAAAGGATAGGATAGGACTTCAGGGGCCAGGCAGGCAGGGCACTGTGAGGGCAGGACATGGCACCCTTCCTGGCAGAGGAGAAACAAGCACTGTCCCTGCAGAAGCTACATTTTTCCTAGGACTCCAGAGCAAGGGGAGAGCACAACGTATCCCTGGACCACTTCACTCACCTTAGGAAAAAGTCAGGGTAAGAGGGTTGCTAAGCACAGAGCTGGAGCTCCTGCACTGGTAGCTGGCAGCCATTGGATTTGCTTTTTCAGTCTGGAGGATGCTGGATTCTGTTGTCTGCCAGAACTTGTCATTGTGATACCATGATGTGAGGCCCTCTCTCAGGAGGTGGGATCCCCCAGCATGTCAGATTCGTGCTCTTGCCTGTAAATACCGTGCTCCAGGGGGGCTCCAGAGTCAGCAAGGCCTTCTGCACAGCTGTGAGGGGCAAGGCAGGCAGGAGGAAGAGAGCAGGGCAGGACAAAGATTGTTGCTGGAAGAACCATTGGCAGGACAAAGATTGTTGCTGGAAGAACCATTGGCTGAAGGTGCCATGCAATCTTCACTTCAGGGCAAGTCTTACCAGTGACAACCATTTATCCCAGAGCTTGCCAGAACCTGTGGCAAGGACTCCACGCTCATCTATGTGAGTGACCAGTTCCTCAAACCCCTCCAGTGCAAAATCACTCACAGGAACCAGGCATTGACTGGCTTTTATGAACGTGATGCCTTTGACTTATACCTTGCCACCTTCAGATCTGGGTCTATTGAGAGCAGAGTGCTCCCACTGCCGTGCAGGAGGTTCATCATAATCCTCCTGCCCAAGACAAGGGATCTTGTTACCTGGAGGACTGGTATCAAGTGGAAGTGTAAGACTGGAAGACCCATTTCTCAGTGGTCTAGGTATATACTGGTGAAGTGATACACCAGTAAAGGCTAGAGCATTTTAACAACTTGAGTCTAACCCAGGACCTGCCCCACCTTGCATATGGAGATGGTTCCACCCTTCACGTTCTGTTGCTTAATCAAGAAAAAGCATCTGACAGTGGGATCATAGCCACCTCATGAGAACCCTGCTGACATACGAGTTCAGTCCCCACTTTGCGGGTTCTTTCTGAGTGCTTGCATGAAGTGATAGGCAGACATGTTATTGAACAGATTGCAGTGTCCCGACACATGCCCTTCTGGAGACAAGAGAAACCATGGCACATACAGCCTTCAAGTACACAAAGTCACAACCCCACCCAAACGTGGGATTTCCTCTTCAGTCTTTTCCTGACCTTAGCTATGCTGGCCAGCCATAACATGAAAAGAACAAAAATCAATAGGCAGGAGCATGCAGACACTAAAGTCAGTGTCTTCTCCCTCGTTCATTGCTGACTCCAAGCAGAGGAACACTTGGATCCTGAAAGGTGTGGTGGGAGATGTAAGAAAGGACTTTGTTTGACGCCCCTTCTGTTGCACTGGTAATGTGATTTTCATTATTCCCTCAGTCTCATTCCCGTTGACCCCCACTGAAATCAGTGCTAATTTTCCTTTTTTTTTTTTTTTTCCTGCTAGCCCTGTGGGAGGCAGTGTACAGAGAATATTTAGAGGTCAGCTGCCATTCATAAGGAGCCTGACAATCTAGAGAATGCCCTGACAGCCTCATGAAATTACAAAAAGAAGTGCAAAGTCAAACACCTGTGAGAAAATAAATTTATATAACTGTACAGTCCAAGGATGGCTGGCTGGCTGGGGAGCAGCCTTACAGAAAAGGACCTGGGAGTCCTGGTGGCAAGTGAAGCCATTTGTGTACCTTTGTGCCGATTAAAGCTAGCTGCATGCTGAGTTGCATTAGCAAGAGCATGGGCAACAAGTCAAAGTAAGTGATTATTCCTCTCTGCTTGGCGCTTCTGATACCCCCATTTGGAGTATTGTGTCCAGTTTTGGACTCCTCTACAGCGCAGACTGTCCCACTGAGGGCGATGAAGATGATATTATACACAATTTTGTTATGGGCAAAGGACAGTGCATCATATGTGTGGAGCTAGGAATTTATTATTAGTCTAATTTATATGTGAACAGCCCAGTATTCCAAATGATCTCACTAATGCATAAAAGAGTCACAGTACAGTTAAAATTATTATTAAAAGAAAACAAATCTTCCAAGGATCTTCTCCATTTATCTAGCCATATGCTGATCTTTCCAATGTTTCACCTCGGTCCTGAGGGGAAACAGTTTAAGTCTTCCTCAAGCAGAATGGTAAGAGGAGGTTACGACAAGTCGTCAGCATCCTGAAGTTATTGCCAAGAGGAATCTGACATTCATGATGGGAATTTATTCTTCTGTAGTCTTGAGCGCATTTGAGTGCGTTCATTTTTGTATCTCTTAACACTGTCTGCTTCCTTCTCACTGGTTCCTAGCTAAAGTTTGGAGCCTCTCCATCCTTGATTATCATAAAAGGTCATTGTTTGTTGCACAATGATGCCTAGGTTTATCAGATCTACAGAGCTATACCATAATTACCATAGATGGTATTCACAGAGCTCAAGCTAAGACAGGTCAAGCAGTAGTCATTGACCACTTGGCAGTTGCTAAAAATAGCTGAGGCCATCCTCAGACCCCTCACTCTGGGGTCAATACAAGCCCTATGATCTTTTACAATAATGGCAAAAGTCATATTTACTGTGCTAGTATGCAGTGTACAAGCAGAACTCAAGGGTGCTGGGTTTATTTCACCTGGGTGTGCAATGAAAGGATGAGAGAAAATAGTCACAAGTTGCAGCACAGGAAATTCCAACTAGATAAAAGGTATTTAAAAAAAAAAACACACACACAATGAGAGTGGTGCAATCCTTGGGCAGTAGCACAAAGAGGTGGGAAAAATCTCCATCCCTGAAGATATTCAGAACTCAACTACACAAAGCCCTGAGCAAAATGATTTGGCTTTGAAGTTAGTTCTGCTTTGAGAACAGGCTTGGAATAGAGACCACCAGAGGTCCCTGTAAATCTATATATGCCTGTGAGTCTAATCTGTGGTTGTAGAGAGAGCTTAGGAAAGACTACCCCCCTCACGTAGAAACATTATAGGCACTTTTATTAGGTGAAACAAACCCTGACCCCAGATGCCCTTTATGGTCACTAAAAAGAAATAAACACTTCTACAATGTCATTTATGTGAATTATTTTAGACCTCTAGCATAGCATAAGAATTAATTCTAGAGTTAGGTGAGATGAAGTTCAATCTTTGTGTGAAATGAAAGACTTAACTGCTAGATAGATGTCACTACAACCTTAGTTATAAGCAGTTCTTCAGACTGAAACCGATGTCCCTAATATACTAAAGTTTTAATCTCCCTTGAATCAAAAAGTGAAAACATAAATGTGCATTCACCCAATCTGCATAAAACATAACAAAACCTATTGAATTTTAGGGTCTCTAAAATATTATTCTCTTGTTAATTTTTCGTTTTTTCATGCTTGCTCTTTTGGAGGAGTGAATATTTTTGTGCAAGAGAAAGCTGTCTATGGGGATCCCACATAAAATTTTTTGTATTCATTCCTGATGGAGAAAAGTTTAGCCATGATATATATTCCTGCAGTATTAGACTCCTTGGCTACCCTATTTTTAAATCATACTTTTTTATTAAATTAATAAAGGGGTGGATATTTAGTTGTTACCCATGTAACAGTCACATCATATTCACACTTTATGCTCTGATTTCAAATGCCTCTGTTTTTCATCTCAGCACTGATGTCACATAAAATAGATGTTAATTCAGTGAACCTTGCTAACTACATGTTGGCTATTTAGCAATGCAGAGAGAGAGAAGGCACACTCTGGTCTAAGATTTACATACAAATAAGATTTATATGTATCTACTAACTTCAGTCAATTTTTTTCTTGTCCATCTACTATCAGTGATGAATCTCCTGCCTTCAGTCAAATTTATTTGCAGGTACTGAGTGGCATTCACTTGCAGTAACCTAAGCAGATAAATGTGAGATATGTAAAACTGGAGTGTTTCCCTATTAATTGAACAAGACCACCAGGTAACTGGCTCAAAGAATGATTCATCTTATCCTAAGACAGGTAGCTTAGAGTAATGAGATAAATATTGCTCTCTAGTCAGCAGTCTCTGTTCATTACATTAGGAGATTAAAGTGACCAGCCTAAAAGTGTGCATCTATGTATAAAGGCATATGAGAGGCGTATCATTTACTTTACAGTTTTCTTCTTCAGGATCATTATAACTTGAGTGGAAATACAGTATTCGTCTTCAGTAGTATACTAACATAGTACCAAAGGAGTGATAGCTTTTGAGAAAAATAATAGCAAATATATACGTTCAATATATCTTTTTGCACATATTCATCTTTAAATTCTAGAGTCAATGATGTTTAATGTTTTTTGTCCAGGAATTTCTATATATGCTTTAATTAGTCATATCAAGAGTTACATAATCTATAACAATATTTCTGTCTGCTTACCTATTAAAAGATTTTTTTTTCCAAATAAATAAAATGTTTAAAGGTTACACAAATGCATTTTTAATCATTCTGCCCTAGGATAGAGAGGTCATCGAAATGAGCTTATCACATCTCAGGCAGGATTACTGTAGAGAATTCACTGGCTATAGTTGCAATTGAATATTTCTTTTACTTGGACAATGTTCAGGGAATGCATTCTTGTGCATCCAAAAGCTTTGTCTTTTTCCTTTAATCTAGGCATGTCCTCAAATGTCTCTGGAATGTAATTTCATATTTACTCATATGCTAAAAAGTTTAAGGGGCCTAATATAGGCAGCAAGGCCTCAGTACTCCGTTGTTTAAACATCCATCTAGAGGAAAATGAAAATTAATATGAATATTTACCAAGTTAAAAAGAGATACCTAGACAACACAGACACAAATGTGTGTCATGAAGCATAAGACTGATTTATTTGCTTACCTGGGGAGCTGCCTTCTTCCTTTTTATTGAATGGAATGAAATTTAGTGTGGAACACAGAAGGGGAAAGCAGAAAGTCAGTGTTTATGGGGATGGGTAAAACAGAAAGAGCGGATCAAAGGGTAGTAAATACAAGTGAATGAAATAAATAGCAGAAGGAGACAAACACAAGAAGAAAAACTGACAGAATAGAAGGAGTAGCTGAAATGGAAGAAAGGTAAGCTAGGGAGTCCAAGGGCTTTGTGAGGGATAGTCGTGCCTCTAAATGATTCTTGAGCAAAAATGTATCCAAAATAGCAGGTCAAGAGCTGTTCCTACCTCTGAGATATGGTAATTTGCTGAACATAGTGAACACCCACTAAAGCCCTCGTGTGCTCTGCTGTTCTTGTTGCCAGTACCAAATTCATAACACTGTGTGTGATAAAAACTTTTCTGGATGATGTTTTCTGTATGCAGCTGTTCCTGAAACAAGATAATGGTATCATCACAGCCTAGCCCCAACTTCAGAAGATTATATCTGTGAAAACCATGTGGCTCACATAAGATTTAAGGCAGCACACTGGCATTGTACTCTTTTGTGTGCAATTTTCCTTTTTATGGCATTCAGTATGTTTTTGTTCCTCAGACTATAAATGATTGGATTGACTAGAGGAGTCAAGACAGAATAAATCACAGCAAATAGTCTGTCATAATCTAAGGAATAACTTTTCTTGAGTCGTACATACATAAATATAATACTCCCAAAAAATAACAGAACCACAACCAAGTGAGAGGCACAAGTGGAAAAGGCCTTTTCCCTTCCCTCTGCTGTGTGTATTTTTACTACGTTTTTTAAAATCTTGACATAAGACAGCATGATAAGGAGAAAGGTCACCAGTATTATAAATGCATTTATTGCAAAATCTATCAGGATGCTTATGCTGGTATCTGTGCAAGCCAAGCTCAACAGCGGGGGGAAGTCACAAAAGATATGTTGAATTTTACTGGGACCACAGAAAGGGAGTTTGGAGACCAAGATCACCTCAGTAACTGGACACATGAAGCCACAAATCCAGCATCCAGCAATCATCTGAAAACACATTTTTGTGTTCATGATGGCATGATAATGCAATGGTTTACAGATTGCTAAATATCTATCATAGGCCATTGCTGTAAGTAGGTAACATTCAGTGGCTCCAAGAGAATGGAAGAAGTACATTTGTAAGAGGCATCCAGTGAAAGAAATGCTTTTCTTCCCACTGAGTAAGTTTGAAAGCATTTTGGGGATAGTAGTTGCTGTATACCAGATTTCCAAAAAAGATAAAATGCAGATGAAAAAGTACATTGGAGTATGAAGTTGAGCATCTAGTTTAATGATTGCGAAAATTACAAGATTCCCAAAGATAGTGAAGAGGTAGATGAGCAGCAGCAGTATGAAGAAGAAGGTATGGAATTCCTGAAGATTTGGGAATCCCACTATCATAAATTCAGTTACTTTGCTCTGGTTGGTTGTTCTCATGCTGCCAGGATCCTTGCGAAACTATGAAATTCACAGCTCCACAGACGTCCTGGTATCTCTTGGATGATAAGACAAGTACTGAAAATTAGTCCAAATAAATATTATTATATTTGATGGATTCAAAACTGAGACACAAAGGATACTTTTATGTCCTTTTACCCCGACTTTTTCTTCTATTACATTTCATCCAAAATTTGACCATATTTGAGGAAGTGCAAAGTAGTCTGAGGAATGATTATTCCTCCCTCTATCTTAAAGAGAAGTACCAGCTCCTCATATTGTCTTCACTGTTTTTCAAACAGCAAGTTCACATTGGCACATTGGGAGAGTGTAGCTAGCTCCTCTCTTTAAATCATTGGTTTCTTTCAGAAGAAGCTAGCAATTGAAAATGTGGTAAAACAAGTTCTTCAAAAGTGAAGAGTTTGAACCCAGACTTGAAGAATGAAGAAGGCAGTTGCCCCATTGAGAGTCATCCTGTCTGGTCCAACACAAAGAAATCAAGCTTGGATTCAGCCATTGTCAAACTTTCTCATTACACCCCCCCACCCCCCATTTGCTTTGGTTTTCTATCATTTGTTTCTTAAAAAGATATTATTATTATTATTATTATTATTGGATTTCATTAGTTTCAGTCTGTACCTTTATTTATTTTCCCACTTTTCCTACTTAATGAAATTTGTTCTTGAAATGCCTGATTTCAGAGTCTTTCGGTCTCCCCTTTAAGACATTAAGCTGAGGTTGGATTTATAACCCTTAAACTATGTGTTCACTAGTTAGATATATAAATCCAAGTTAATCACCTTTTGGCATCCTTTACCATTAGCAGAGATAGTTTCACCTTCCCAAAGCATTTCATTTGGCATACCTGAAATGACTATTTTAGGATGAGAATCACTTTTTGAAAGTGCTTCCTTCTATCTACTAACTAGAAAAGGAGTTAGGATGAACCAGTCCAGACTAAGTTGTGCAATGCCTAGAGAGCTCAGTGAGCCACATGACTCCATCCTGACTACTCTTTAATGATTTTGAAAATGGAGGTAGATTCTTTTTCTTTTGTGATACAAATAAGAATAACGTTTACTTAAAACCGATAAAGTGGCCCTGAGATTTAATCTTATACCACCAGTAAGCCTAATACTGTCTGAACGAGAGTCAACTCATCCTTTTATTTTCTTTGAAGTATCTCATTTGTTCTTTAACAAACACAGGAATTCTACATAACTGAGTAAGGAAAGAGTTTTGATCTATCTTCTTTATTACAAACTGCGTATATCCAGTTATATCTGACATATTTTTCCTTCCCCAATATCCACCTCTTGTAGAATGTAGCAAAGAGCTGGTAGGCACCTCTTGTAGAATGTAGCAAAGAGCTAACATTTTTCTAACATTTGAATAGATTGCAAGCTGTCTGGGAAAAAGAATAGCATCTAGTGTTGTGCATGTAATATGTTTAATAGCTTTAGCTGTTACTGCAACATCAACAATATTATAACAGAATATTAATGTTAATAATCATAAAACTATCAGCTATCCAATTCGGTCTAAGGTCTGCTTAGTTGTATATATCGCACACATTTTCAAGAACAAGTTCAGGAAATAAATTAATTTGAGCTAAATTAATTCTATGAATCATTAAAAGCAGGCAAAGTTTCAAATAAGAATAATTTAAGAGTTAAATTTACAGGAATCTGACATTCAACAGTTACCTTTCAGGAGCAGAGACAAAAAACTTTCAAAACTACTCAGCATAAATTAAAATCTGGCTGTAATTATTGTATAACTTTAAAATATTTTGGAAGATTGTATTTAGTTTTTACTCAGTCTTTACCTATTTTCCAAAGTTGAGAAAGAAGTAGCTTTCTAACTGAAAAGATTTACTGCTATATTGAAAGGGAATACTGCCTCTTCTTACCTCCTTCCTTGAGGAAGATTTTCAAAATCTTTTGCAGTTAAATTGTTGAGGATGCACTGGTAACATGCTGCCAATAGTTTTTACATATTAAATCCCTCAAAATGTTTTTCTTTGTAGTAAGCATTGTCTAAGGGATTGGAATGGCCTTATCTAATTCTTGGAAATGAAACTTGTCTACCTGTTATCTTGTAACAAATTATGAACATTTCAGGCCACAAACTTCAGAAATAATGGAAAGTAATCCACATTTTATCCTCAAATCTTATTCTCAGGGGTTTCAGTCCAGAGAACATATTCATCCCTAGCAAGTAGATTCCATAAAAAGAAAACATTCTTTATTTATTAAAAATGACTTCTGTTATTACTGAAGTTTGTTTCAAACCTACAGCATATGCCAGTACATGTCAGTACATGATGACTTGCATTAAACATAGCTTAGCTGGTTTTACCTTTCACCAACTTTGGACAGATATGTATTTTTTCGAATGAAAAAATGATATTTTTCCTAACTGAAAAATATTTTTTTAATGAAGTAAAATCTAGCCCCACACACCATTCAGTTACTCATTGCATAGGCTACACTTGGGTGGGGTGCTAAGCTGGCAGGTTTGAATAGAGTATACAACTTTGTGGTGACTGTCTGCATACATCCTGAGAAAGGAATGAAAATGAGCTTGGGTCTTGACTAAAACTGTGTTATAAACAAGTGAATCAGATTTTGTACCTGGATACTAACCTGTGTAATGGCTTTCTTCAGATCTCCTTCATTATGCCTGATACAAGGCTTCTTTGAACACCGCTAGAAGCAGGAACTCCTTCCGAAAGTTAATCTCCTGCATCAAAACAAAAAATGTGTTTTCCTAGTTCATCAGTTTCCAGAAGAAAATAAGCATTTCCCTAGTTCATCCTCTAGAAGTATGCAATGCTTCCAGGTGTATTGCATATCACATTCTCATGGGCATACAATAATTGTTCCCTAGGTCACCCTATTTCCCTCTTGCTTCTGACCCATGTAATAAATGAACATGTAACATATTTTGTAGTACTTTTCCAGTTAAGAGTGTTAAAGTTTGGGCTTTCTATCGCTGATTTTGAGAAGATTCACAGATGAATATACCTGTATTATGCACTACATTTCAGTCAAGGTCCAGTGTTTGACTTGTGTAGGAAGCCTATGTCAGCTTCCAGGAACAGTGCGCCTCAGGATGCTGAGAATTTAAGGCAATTGTGAGTGTAGCACTGAGGGAACCTTGTGCCCTGATGTAGTAGATCTGACTTTCTTAGTAGAATATCGTTGTTGAGAACAAAGAGAACTAAATATGCTCATCTGAGGGCTCAGACTGTGGCCAGCCTAATGGAGAGAGCAGAAACTAGAGCTCTTTCTTTGGCAGTAGAGAGGCTCATTAATATTTCACCTACTAAATATTTCCAATGACATTTCAAAACTAAACTGAAGACCAGTACTTCTGAATAGGTAATATGTTCTGAATCACACAGATACTTCAGACTGCTATTTCCTATTTCTTTTTCTTATGTGCTTGCTACTGTTTAATGATCTCCTACAATGGTAGAAGCTCAAGGAAAAATGCATGGAGCGACTACCCACAGCTCTTGCAAAGAAATCTGAACTTATCTCAGCAAAAAAAGAAGGGGATGGTAGCCTTTCTTCCAGAGAAATGGCTGCATCAGCTGAGGGGATCAGCTGCCTATATCAGCTGTGGGGGAATCAGCTGGCTATATCAGCAGAATGAATCATCTCATTATATCAGCTTAGTGAATCAACCAGCTGTGTAACTGTTTCATCCCTGAGTTAATCAAAAGAATACAAATATATGTCCTTCTGAATTAGCTAGACCAGCATGCAGGATGTATATGTGACTCAGTTCAATATAGAGTAAAAGACCAAACAACGAACAAAAAGACTTTGAAGAGAGCAACGAGCTTGAGCTGATTTCACTCCGCGTATTTCTTCCTGGTGGTAGGGGACATCTGGCATCATGACAATGAGCATATTAAAGAGATCAGTAATGAAATTCACCTTTGCATTGTGATTCAACTGTACATTACAATTGCTATACTCTGATAGTGTAATTTGTACTTGTATTGTGATTTAAGTCCATTGCTGTATCACTCAGCTAAATCGAATTAGTAAATTTTGTATTATGCATTAAACCCTCCAGGTGTGGAATACTTAAAAGAATCTGGTCAGAATGTATTGGACTCTAACAGTACATTACATGTAAAACCTGTAAGATGCCCACATGTAAACAAAACTAATGAACATAAAATGGTTTTGAGAAACAGCTTTTTGAGAGCATAGAAGAATTAAAAGTTTTTTCAAAGCATCAGAAAAGGTGTCCTCCAAAGAGAAAATAAGAGCAGAAGATAATTAAATTGTAAAGGAACACTCAAGGAAAACAAATCCACTATGGTATAGCTAAATGAATTATTTCGGTCTGTGTCCACTTCCCATACCAGAGCTTTTCTCTGTGGAGATAAGCCAGATATCCTGCAGTGTCCTTAAAGCAGTTTAAAGCAAATTAATAGAATTAAGAGCAAATCATGTCTGAGACTAATTGATATTCACCCATGAAGTCTACTGGAACTCAGACATGAAATTACAGATCTATTAAATGTGGAATATAACCTAGCCTTGTTATCCCATGAAAGGTGGCAAATATAACTATTTCCGGACGCATGAAGGTTACTGAGAGTAGTCATCGTGGATTTATGAGGGGGAAATCATGCTTAGCCAAACTGAGACCCTTCTATTCTGAGATGACTGACTTAGCGTATGAGAGTAAAGCAGTACACATTGTTTACCTTGACTTTAGTAAGGTTTTGACAGTATCCCCCACAACGTCCTCATAGACAAGCTAATGAAGTATGGACTGGATAAGTAGTCAGTAAGGACTGAAATCAGTCTGAGCTGTCAGGCTCAGAACATTGTGATCAGTGGCACAACGCCCAGCTGGAGGTCAGTCACTAGTGGTATCCCCCCAGGGGTCAATATAGGGTCCAATACAGTTTAGCATCTTCTTTAATGACCTGAATGATGAGACTGAATGCACTCCCAGCAAGTACATAG